AGTGGACACAAATTACAGCGTCAATGAACATCTTTTTTTAGAAGATCAGCTTGATAGTGTAGGACAAGGGGCAGGTATCGTTGTCAAATTTGGCTGTCAATACGAAGTTAAAATATAACATTTAGACCGTCCCATGTGATTCTAACATAATTAATGTATATGAATTCTTGCGAATAATACCTAAATATTAGAACCCTCTTACAAATTTGTATGAGTTATTTGTAATAAATTATAAACTCTTTAAAACGTTGTACACCGTTTTTTTAAAAATGGTTACTAGTGTAATTGTTTCTTCTTTTTTTTTTTGGTATAAGCCACAGGTATCCGAATCCGTTTTACGGTTTATGACTAATCCTATTCGAGTTACGTCGGGCTCTTTATGGGGGGAAGCTCTCTCAACGTTATATTTTCCATTTTCATGGATTTCGAACCCGAGACCTCATGGTTAAGGATGCAACTAGTGTAATTGTTTCTGATGTTCCTACTCTAAGACTATAGCATACAATTTTGAAAATGCGAAAATTAAGCACCTAAAATGTTGAGCGTGGGCTTCAGACCAAACCACTCAAGCTTTTAAAACAAAAGATTCTCCTAACCCATGTACTTGTCCAATTTTAATTCTAGTAAATATTTGGATAAACATTACTTATTATTATACTTACACCGGATGAAAATTTGACAGCAACGTAATGGATATTTACTTTCATTTGTACTTTTTTTGCTTGAACCGCGAGAAAGCAGTTTACAAATAGCGACACCCAGAGGAAAGGCGGGTTCTACTTGATTATGACATATAAATCTTACTCATGAATACAGCCAGGGACAGTTCTAACTAATCATTTTTAAAATACTATTCTTAGTTCCTGATAATATGGTAAAAAAACTTTGAAAGAGGGACTTGAAGCACATGTTTGTCAGGCAAGAGAAAGAATCTTATGTGATGTGTCCCTATTTTTGACAATTGAGTGCCTATAAGTTTGATTCCATTTGGAGTTGGTGATTGCAAACCAACATTAGTACAGACTATTGTTGTTCCAGAGTAACAAAATGTACACTTTTGGCTACTTCTGGCTTGTAATTTTGGCTATTCTTGGAGCCATAAATTCTTCTCAGGCTGATTTGCAGCTGAATTTCTATGCTAAAACATGTCCCAAAGCAGAAGAGATTGTACAAGATTATGTCCATGAGCATATTCCAAATGCTCCATCTCTTGCAGCAACGTTGATAAGAATGCATTTCCATGACTGCTTTGTCAGAGTAAGTATCAAAAAAATCCCTACGCTGTTGCAAATTTGCATATCTGTACTCATGTTTATGAATGTTTTGTTGCTTCCACAGGGCTGTGATGCATCTATTCTTCTGAATTTCACATCCAGTTCAGGAAATCAGACAGAGAAAATTGCTGTTCCCAACCAAACTGTACGAGGCTTCGACTTCATTGACAGAGTGAAGAGCCTAGTAGAAGCTGAATGTCCAGGAGTTGTTTCTTGTGCAGATATCATAACACTGGTTGCAAGAGATTCCATTGTAGTTACAGTAAGTTCATGATTTCAGTAACTAAATTAGACCAACTTAGACGTCTGAAATTTTTCGCGATCGATTAATCTTGTGATCTTGGCATGATAGGGAGGTCCTTTTTGGAGGGTTCCAACTGGTCGAAGGGATGGGCAAATATCAAGTGCTTCTGAGGCCTTAACAAACATTCCAGCGCCATTTTTCAATTTCACTCAACTCCAAACATCCTTTGCCAACAAGGGTCTAGATTTAAAGGATCTGGTATTGTTATCAGGTTATTTACTAAACTACGACATGATTCATTAATATCAACAAATTTCTTACATTTCTTGTCTTCTTTAGGGGCTCATACGATTGGAATTGCCCATTGTTTTCCGGCACTTTCAAACCGTCTGTACAATTTCTCTGGAATTCTTGGTAATCAAGATCCATCTCTGGACAGTGAATATGCAGCAAATCTGAAAGCAAAAAAGTGCAAAACCATCAACGACGCAACGACGATAGTTGAAATGGATCCAGGAAGTTTTAGGACATTTGATCTTAGTTACTACACACTTCTACTCAAGAGAAGAGGCCTATTCCAATCTGATGCAGCCTTGATAACAAGTTCGACTACACTCTCATATATTAACGAACTTCTTCAGGGTTCATTGCTGAATTTTTATCAGGAGTTTGCTTTGTCTATGGAGAAGATGGGAAGGATTGAAGTAAAGACAGGATCTTCCGGTGAAATTAGGAAACATTGTGCATTTGTCAATAGTTAAAAGCCTTGCTTTTGTTTTAAGATTTGATAATTGCATTTCGTTAATGTAAGTCATAACTCATACGTGTACTATGAATGTGGAAGCTATCTTTATTTGATAGCCAAATTGTTTTGTGTCACAGACATTGTCGCCTGATTTGAAATGATGAAAGACAAGACATGCAAATTATAGAAGTTATAACCAAAAAATGTAACAATATTCCATTTGAGATTATGTCGAGAAGCAAATCCAACTATTCAATACTCGAATCAGGTTGAATCTAATTAGAACTTATTCAAGTTTTGTTCACCAAAGGACTGTACCAAATAGGAATAACATTTCGTGTTGGATAAAATTTCAAATTCGACTCAGTTAGCATAATATTTGATATTTATATTTTAAATTTTAAATTACTCAAACACGACTAAAAAAAAAAAGCTTATTTGAATTCAATTCGATAAGTAAACAAACGAAGCTAGAGCACAATGTCATGTTCTTACAAACAAACTTGGCCATTGAGAATCCAACTTGATTAGACTTATTTATGCCCCTAACTAAATTCCCTTTTAAAAGTTTTTGGTGGTGGAAAAAAAAAAGAAGTGTCAAACAACATATATCCGTTATAAGTTATAATTTACGTTTAATTATGGTCTCTAGGTAAAATATAAGAAGTACTTAAACTAAGAATCAACATGTACATGTTACTCGGGAGAGAAGTGGATTAGGTTGTCCAGGCCACAAAGTGTAGGTAAGAGATTTTGGATTCGAACCTTTTCACTTACGCTAAAAAAATGTGCATGTTACTCGAAAAAAAAAAAAGAAAAAAAGTCAACATATGCAAGCTACCATTGAAATTTATGTTGTTCTATCCATTTCATCAAATAATTAGTTCCATTATTAACACTAAATCGTATAAAATACCTCATTTCCTGAAAAATGAAGATGTTGGCCAGTGGTCACGCTATCAATTCCATATATCTATGTCCAAATTGTCTTTTGGAGTTAGTAATTTACTAATTGGATAGGATTACCACATTAAAAGAAAGGGTACTTAAGCTAGATTTGAGAGTATTGCGTAACTAGTAAATTTTGGGTTTCTTTGATTTGGTAAATATACATGCTCTTTTATCCATTAGCCATTTTTCAATTCGAGCTTGTGAAATTTTTTTTTTACAGTTTACAGGTTCTAGGTTTTCAACATTAAAAATGTTGAAATTTGTCAATGCTATCTCAAACCATATACAACAGAAATATGAAGATTTCCCAATCAATTTTTTTTTTTCGGTGGGGGGTTTTCAATTGTTATGCAAACAAAATTAGGAGAATTCCAATCTCGCATTAGCAATGGCTTTTTTAAATTAAAAAAAAAAAGATTTAGAAATGGTAGGGGTTAAACGTTGATCCGACCTATTTATTAAAAAAATTTCAAAAAATACATGATAAAGAGGGTATACCTCTTAATTTTGACTAAATAAAAATTTTATGAACTTTTAAATGATCTCAAAATGCTCCACACGTGTGATACCATGAAGGCGCTTGAGCTTTTAGCTCGAAATCTAGTCGTGTTTGCATTTTTTTTTTTTGTGCCATTTTTTGAGTACTGTTTTCTTTGAAATCACTTGAATGAACTAATTGTTATGTCTCATCGTATTGTATTGTGGATGATAGTATCTCGAGTTCTTTGAGGATGGTACAATTCCCAACTAATCATTAAGTTTAAAAAGCGTGATCAAACATCTTCAATCACTAGCGTGTTTTGTTATTATACAAAAAAAAAAAAAGCAATGGTTGCTTGTCGGTGGAGATTAATTCCAGTAAATTTAGAAGTCCAATCCCCCAATAATGGTAATGACAAGAAAGTCAAAATCAATTCCAATACACTACTTTCTTTTGGGAGCAAAACACTCACACAAAAATAGTAGTATATGGAATTTTCAAACTTCAAATTTCTAAATCGAAGACGCAAAAAGTGGACCCAAAAAAAAAGGATCAAAGTTGAGTTGAAGATTCAAAAGTGGACCCAAAAAAAGAAAAAGGATCAAATTTGACTTGAAATTTTCACTTCCCCATTCTTTGACTCAGTCCACTAATAATGGCTTTTCAATAAAGCCTCTGTATTACTAACTCCAAACTGAATCCGTCTGGATTAGCTGTTTTTTGGGGTATTTTTAAAAATTTTGCTGTAACAGAGTTTTTAGATTATATTTTGAAATATTTTCAGAAAATATTTTGAAATAATTAAGAGTAGAAGAGTTTCTAGAATATATTTTGAGATATTTTTTAAAATTTTAAAAAAATTTAAACTAATTTTTAGATTACCTTTTAGAGTACTTTTTAAAAATTTTTATTGTATTTGAAATAGTAATTTTTAAAAAACACTCCCATCCAAACATAGACGTTACAATAAAAATCTACAAACTCGATATATGGCAGCAATTATTTTCTCATTTCCATGAAATCAGATTCCAAAATGTGCAAATTATTTTGGAAAAAAAAAAAACCAAAGAAAAAGACAAAGACCCAATCACAAGTAAACACTCCCTGAAATTATTCAAAGCCCACTTAAAGAAACATTACTTCGATTAGAATGGCCCATATATTATTTTCCAACCCATGAACATTTCAGCCCATAAGAAACCCAATAGATAAATCCCATCACAACCCTCCATAAACCCTAGCTGCATCGCATAGAGAACATCGCTCTCTTTCTTTATATACCCCATCTCCTCTGCCCAGCTCTTCATTGATTCCTGTATTCCCTCTCCAATCCCAGCTCATAATTTTTTTTTTGGTTTTTTTTCTGGGTTTTTGTTTTCAATTTTTATTTACTTTCATCTTTGTAGATACCTTCGTTTCATGTTACTTTTCCAGCTTTTGTGTGCGGTGATGAGTATTTTGCTGGACTAGAGTTTCTGATCTGGGATTTCAAGCCCCAGTTTTGAAGAGAAACCCTTGGCTGTCTGAGCACATTAATTTAATTTCTTGATAAATCTTTTTTTTTTTCAAATTTTTTCTAGTGGGCTTAGGATGAAAATTTTAATTATCTTAGCGGATTTCTGTGAGATTATTCTTAATCAGTGATCTCATTGTTACACACACTGAAGCCCTCGTTTTAAGTTTTTTGTTTGGTTGCATTGCTTTTATTATAAGATCATTTTTTTAATTTAATATTGGTTTTTTTTCTTTCTTATTGGATAATGATGCTGTGATGAGATGAGCACCATATGGTGTTTTAGGGCAGTGGAAGTATCCGTGAGCCCATTTATCTAATGACTTCTCCTTCCACTGAGCATCATTTTTTTTCTTTCAATTATAATTTGTTTTGGTAGTTTAGGAGTAGAAAAATGGCGTCCATTACCAATTCTGGGGGATAAATCTGGTTCCTCTTGGTATAATGGCTCGGGCGCAATATCAATTGTGGTTATCCTGATTGATGGATAACTTTTGTAATGCCATTAGATCCTGGAAACGCCACTTATATTTTTTAGCTCTAGTTTTTTCCTTCATTTGATACTGCTGCATTTCTTTGCTTAATCTTCACAGGAATCTAAAAATTGTGAGAAAAGTTGAAAAGCTTTGGGGAACTTTTAGAATCAATCTTCAATTTTGTTTGGATGGAATTGTTGGCACAGTATTTGGACATGGGAGGAGGGAGACAGGGTATATGCTGCGGATCAATCTTCACCCCGGTTGCAGTTGGTGGGATCTGTAGCACCGTGGAGTCTACAGGTAAGGCTTTCCTGTTTAAATTTGTGGTGGGATGCATACTTATTGGCTGTTTGTTGTATTCAATTTCTCATTTGTGGGAATTCTTGTGTAGTTTCACTTGTTTAAATTAATACAAAGTAGTATTTTAGGTTCAGTCTGATGCTTTGTTTCTGGAAAGCTTCTCATTTCTATGTAGTTTAGTTTATGTGGACCGTGGTATATATCAGAATCTACCCATATCCTTGTCAATCGTAAAGGGTATATTTGACTTGGGATATGTTTTAGGTTCTCGATATTGTTGTAGTGCTAGAGTTTGAGCTACGATGCGGAATGGAATTTTGTGGCTTGTGTCTTGTGTATTACTCGGCCTTTGTTGTTATGACATGGTTATATTTGTGCCTAGTTATCTGGAAAATGGAAAGATGCTGGTTTTGGCTCAAGGAAAGTTTGGCTTGATTGGTTCTCTAATTGCACTAGTACTAAAGTTTCACTTAAAATAATGTGAGAATGAATTCTGGAGCATGTATCATATTTTTATTATAACTTGTGTTATTCGGCTCAACATTATTAACTTGAATTCGATAATATTACATTGATCACCACCGACGTCGTTATTGCTCCCGACGACACTCAATTTCAGATGACAAATCACTCTTTTCTTGGCTCTATTGGTATGCACTTTGAGCTCCAATTCACTACTTTCCAAATCCACCATCCCTTCTCCCTCTACATTGTAAACTGTAGAGGACCCTCTTCTGTTACTATGCCTTTTCAACATCGAAATACCCCTCGACTCAGTTGAAAATTGGCATTCCTTGTACGACCCACCAAGCTGCGAATGCAACGAATAGCTGTTGTTTTCGGTGTCAAAGAAGTGAAAGCTCCCATTAGTAGTAGTCTCGCTGCTGGCTGCTATGGATGGCCCCGGCCTCTGACAACTGCGGTGGTGCCAGCAGGCATGTGGTAGTTAATTGCTGACGTTTTACAGAACCTTGAAGTGAAAAATTAGTGTGGTTGGAAATATTTTGGATTTTTTTCTTTGTTCAAGTTTGGAAGAGCATGGGGGCCTGGGCTGGATTTAACAATATTCATCACGAGTGTGTTCTTGTTTGAGAGAAGAACGGGGCTGTGAAATTTCCCTTCTCTTCTCTTTCATGACTTTGTATATACGAAGTGTAACGAATGCAAGGTAGTACAAGGATTTGTGAAAAAAGAGAGACAAGGGAAATGGTTTGACTATGGGGGCTAATTACTTAGAATATTGACAAAAAAAAGAAAAGTTGAACACTTAGGGTTCTGACAGAAATGTGGTATTAATCTCCTGACACAATTTTTTTTTTTTTAAAAGATGTCAGCCCGGCAGCCCACCTGCAACAAGTAAAAAAAAACCTGACTCATTCATAAGTCGAGCCCGGCAGTCCACTTGCAACAAGTAAAAAAAAGAAAAAAGTCTTGACTCATATTCATAAGTCGACAAAAAAGGAAAAGGCTGGCGGAATCTCAAGAAACGTGTGTTCAGGAGCGGACTCTAGTCTGGTGAAAATTTACTCTAGTAGCTAGCTAGTAGTAGTGGTACCTGTATGATAATTAAGTTTCCAAGGGGAGCAAGTCTGGCGTGTGAAGAAATTTACCAGCTAAAACAAGCCATCCATTTTCAGCTAAGCAGCTAATGATCATTTATGATTTATCACTCCCTGACTGCCTTCTTCTGCTTCTGCTTGCTGCCTTCTCAGCTCTGACTTATCCCGTGCAGATACACCAGAGCCTCACAGTCATTTTGCTTTGCTACAAAATATAACACAATAAGTATATAGTAGTAGTAATTAATATACTTAGAAATATTACATTATAATTAAGTTCTTAATATATAGCCAGAAGGAAAAAAAAAGAAAAAAGAGAGCACTTAATTAGATAGCGAAAAAGTTCAGTCCGACATGTTATTTCAGATGGATGTTTCAGTTTAATCAGGGTTACGGGTGAAATTCATGAAATTTTCTTTGAGTAAACTGATTTCAATCTCCTGCCCACTATTATGCAGTATAAATTAGAATCACACGAGTCCCATGAAGAAGTCTTTTTCAAAGTTAGTCGTAAAAAGAGGGTAATTTGATCGCATTAATCTTGAATCTATAAGAACCATGAACGGAATAATGAGACATATCATGAAGCTTATCTACCGTACAACCAATTCAATTACTGGTGTGTATATATATATATATATCACTTGCAAACTACAAATCAACTTCAAGCTATCTAGGAAATGAAAAGCCAGCGGGAAAATTTTTCACAAGAATGAATAATGTCGATAACATGTTGCATGCATGCTTGTATTCATTGTAGTCATGCAAGAGATTTCATCCTGTTTCAATGGATGGTACTTTTCTTCTTATTTTTTGCAAGCCTGATTAGAACTTGAAAGTATAAAAATTTTGACTCTCTTCTTCTAAGTTGAAGCAAGTTTTCTTTTCTTTCTTTCTTTCTTTTTTCCCCCTTTTTAGAAAGCATTTTTTTTATTGACAACCGATTTGTTCATTTAAATTCTTGATCATGGATTAATGTTCTAATTTTGCCTTCCCTCTCTTATAAACATAAACATGAAAGCTTGATATATATGAAGCAGCATGGGGTGTTAATGGATGAGAGTTGGAAACTTCATCCTTTCCCCATAACAGGAGAAAAGAAAAAATAAATCTTGAGGTCAGTCCCCTCTATCATGCGACCAAAAAGAAATAATGAAAATGGAAGTGTGGAAAAACTGAAACAAAGACTTGTGTGTCTAACGTGCTGCTTCTTTTTTTTTTTTTTTTTTTCATTTCAAAAAGCGACATCTTCATGCTGCTCATTTTGGTGAAATTTGCTTAATTTCTGTATCGGTGATGAAGAGAACAAGTCATGAATATGAGTCCGCCAGCCAATGAATATGATTCCGCCAGCCTTTTCCTTTTTTCCTTTTTTGTCGACTTATGAATATGAGTCAGGTTTTTTTTTCAATAAAGATAAATAATAAAACAAAATAAAAGACACAAAAATTTACATTTGTCAAATTAACCTACATTCACGGGCGGAGAAGGAGCAAATCTTTCATTATGAAGAAGATATATAAAAGTCTTAGAAAAGTGGTTTTTAAGTCCAAAGGACACCTAATACCAAAATACAATAGAGTTTAAAAGATTTAACTAAACAAAAGGTTTAATGACTCAAAAGTCCAAATAACCTACTAATACTCTCTTGGTTCGGTGCGTTTAATTTCATCATACGAGTCTTTTATTTATAGGAAACAAAGGAATGCTTTTCTTAAACTTCTGCCGATGTGGGATAAGGGAGAAACTCCCTTATGCATTATCGATGTGGGACACACTACATCAACAAATTTGTTATTACCGATGTGGAGCAATTTTATTATTATCGATATTGGGGACACACCAAGGTGGAGATTTTTTGATGTGGCGTGTCCCACATCGGTAGTGCATAAGGGAGGTTTTCCCTTATTCCACATCGGCAGAAGTTTAAGGAAAGCCTTCTTTTGTGTCCTATAAATAAAGGGCTCTTATGATGGAGTTAAGCACACTAAACCAAGAGAGCATTAGTGGGTTATTTGGATCTTTGGGTCATTAAATCTTTTGTTTAATTAAATCTTTTGAACTCTCTTGTGTTTTAGTATTAGGTGTCTTTTGGGTTTAAGAACCACTTTCCTAAGGATTTTGTATATCTTCTTCATAGTGAAAGATTTGCTCTTCCTCCGTCCGTGGACGTAGGTCAATTTGACCGAACCACGTAAATTTCTGTGTTTTTTATTTTGCTTTGTTATTTGTTTTTATTGAGTTGCCACAACCCTTTTATATGGTCGGTTTTACCGCCTAAGTATTATATGACTGGTATCTATCGCCTAATTATTATATGGTCGGTTATACTGCCTATTTTGTTCTAATTTTAGTTTGCTAATTCTTGAGCCAGTCCTAACAAACTGATGCAGACTGGTTGTCGGGCTCTGTCAGCTCGGCAGCCTGTTATATTTAAAAAAAAAAAAAAATTGTGTTAGGAGTCCGGCACCAATGGATTGATATCACATTTCTGTCAAAACAATAAGTGTTCGACTTTTCTTTTTTTTTTTGTCAATATTCTAAGTAATTAGCCCTAGTTGTGCCTTATTAGCACGACGGGCATGGAGGGAGAAAAGTCTGTGCTAGAATCATAGTTGATGGAATTTTTGTTTAAATACCATTATATTCTAAGGAATTAGTCTCATTTAATTTATTTATTTTAAAAAGTGCCTGCTGTGATAGACAGGTGGTCATACAATTGTTTTTAGTGGTAAGGACCAAAATGTAAATAATGGTGAACCTTTTTTGAGCGCGGCCAAGAAGCGGTACCGCGTGGTTAATGGATACGATGGGCACTTATTTACATTTTGATCCCTCCCGTCTAACAGGCATGTTTGGGCACTAAATACAACAGGCATGTTTGGGCACTTTTGAAAAAATAAATAAATCAAATGGTCCGCTATGTCTAATTGAAGAAAGCTCCACCTGTAGGAGAATACCACATACATGGCCCGCTAAATAGTTTGTGGACTGTCTTACAGTACGTGGGATCCACATATTGTGAGCCTTGCAAGACTAAAAAAGAGTTGAGATCTGGTTATTATTTTAAAATATATATATATCTATATATATATATATACATGAAGGGACGAAAAGCATAGCAGTTCTTAGATTATTTTAAAAAATAAAAATTGCTTGTTGTGTCTTATCAGCATGGCGGTATTTCTTATTGGGTTGTTGTGCTTGGTCACCATGGCAACCAAGAATAATTTAAAGAAAAAATGTAGCAGTTGGACTAATTGTTGATCAATGGCTAAATCAATCGTTAGTACCAACGGCTAATATATTATGGGCTTGGGGGCAATTTTTAAAAAATTATTCTTGGCTGTTGTACTTGTAGCACAGTGACCCATCAACAAATAAAAAAAAAAGAAAAGAAATAGTCTGTCTTATTGATAAGGCACGGTAGGACTAATTATTCATAATATTGTCAAAAAAATCGGACACTTATGGCTCTGACAATGATTTAGTATTAAATTATTACTGTCGGACTGTGTCAATCCTGCAGTAAAAGCAAAAAAAAACTTTTTAAACAGCATTGGCACAGTTCACACTTCACAGTCAATCAAAAAAATTTTTTTTTTAAAATAAATTGACTGTTAGCCCGGTAGCAGCGGCAAAAAGTCAAAAAAAAAAAGAAAACTACCGTCTAATCAAGTCAGGAGGTTTCACTAATGGGTCGTCGTCCTTCTGTCATTAAATGGTGCCATTTGAAGCTTTTGATTCTCATCTGGCTCTGCTTTCTACCTCAAAAAGATTCGATTTTTGGCTCGGATTCGGATGCATCAGCTCTCCTGGAGTCCAAGGCCTTAGTTATGGACCCCTCTGGACTGCTCTCCAGCTGGGATTCAAGCAAAGCTTCTGATCACTGCTCCTGGTCCGGTGTCGCTTGCGACTCCACTTCTTGCGTAGTGGCTTTAAATATCGGCGGCGGCGGCGGAGGTGGAGGTAATTCGGGCTCGGTTTCTTGTGCTAGAATTTCTCAATTTCCACTGTATGGGTCTGGAATTAGAAGGGCTTGCTCAAATACTAATGTTAAAATTTCTGGTAAATTGCCACTTGTCGTGTCCAAATTGTCCGAACTTCAGGTCTTGTCACTGCCATTCAACAAATTGAGTGGTGAAATTCCTGGTCTGGATAAACTGGAAGTTCTTGATCTTGAGGGCAATTATTAACTGGGCCTTTGTCGCTTCAGTTTAAGGGTTTGAGGAACTTGAGGGTTCTGAATTTGGGTTTAATGGGATCGTAGGGGGGATCCCAGATTCGTTCTCAAATTGTTTGGAGGTGGCTTTTTTTTTAACTTTTTGCAGCTGCTGCCGGACTATGCGATTTAAAAAAAAAAAAAACTTTTGACTGACTGCTGGGTTGTGTCAGTGCTGTTTTTTTTTTCAAAAATTTTTTTTTGCTTTTGCTACTGGTTGACACAGTCCATTAATGATAAGAAATTTAACCTACTGCACTTATACAAGAAATTAAGAAATAAAAGCTCCTTAGGTTGTAGTATCCCTAACTACTCATGCAAGTGTTATATTTGGATCATTGAGTACTACATCTAGGCTAATTATGGTGTAATTTCCTTATGCATTTGAATCCTACTTTCGTAGTGAATCAATTATACTTATAACTAATCCATACATATTCTCATGGTTATGAAATTAGCTACAAGTTCATTTCTTCAGTGAAATTACATGAAATGAATCACTAAAAATCACATAGGTGCACCTCTACTTTCGTGAGTGTACTCCCTATGTTTAGCACTTCTTGAACTAATGTTAAATCTCAATTTTCATTGCAGAAATAACACCTTAGATAATCACAATTAATGGTATCAGATTAATCATGATTTAAAGAGCCAAAGTACTAAATAATTTGCTCAAATCATAGCAGTCAAATAGCCAAATAATAAGCACTAACAATCATAGAAAGTTCAACCAAACCCAAGGTATAAACTTTAAAGACACATATTAAATATAAAATCCAAAACTTGTATATTAGCTAAACTTGGAATCAAGTACAAAAGATAAAGAGTTGGAAAGGAATGTAACCCATGTCACTTGAGCTCATCATCTTGCCTTCTTCATCTCTATCTTAATCCTAGTCTAGCAATATAAAAGAGTGGATGAACTATACTAGCTAAACTATCCTACACTAAGAAAATGGAAGAACTACATTTCTGCACTCTTCAAGATTCTCCCGTATGATCCTCTGAAAATTTTTTTAGATCTCCCAAATGTCTCTGCATATAAGCTGATGAAAAGCTCCTCTCTAGTCCAAATTTGTTGATCTAAGGATTCTCAAATCTGAAATTGTTAAGATAGTCAATAACAAATGTTTTTGACTTGAAAATAAGCCATCTTTATTGCCCTCTTGTCTTCTGAGGCATGTGCACCGAATTCTCTTGCAGATTGTAGTTGGAAAGTAGTTTGAACACAAGAGAATTGACTGAGCAAATTGCAGAATTGCGGCCAGAAAACGCGCCTACACAAAACGCGGTTACAAGTCACGTTTTGTGTACTCGCGTATTCACTTTGGCCTTACTTCATCTGCGATTTTCTCTATCATAAAGGCCGAACTGGCTTTTGTGGAAAACACAAAAGTTGTAGCCCTTTGAGTTAGCTTTCCAATGCTTCAAGAATAATCCAAATCTGAGCTTTGTAGCCTGAGATATGATCGAAATACTAAACACTGGTCAGAGCCCTGTTTTCCACTTTGGACAGCTGAGTTGAATTTCGGTATTTCAACTTTTGGACTATGAAAACGGCTGAATTGGACTTTTATGTCTTCATACCAAATGTAGATATATCTCTTAGCTTCAAATTGGTATAAAGATCACCTTGATCCGATCTGTGTAGCTCCAGATATAGTCAAAATACCAAAATGTATCAGAGTTGTCAAACCTGACTTTTCTTGATTCAAATTGCATTTTTCCTTTTACACTTCATATTTTATTTTCACCACTTTAATCCATCTTCAATCATCCAAATATCTTCTCAATGCACTTCATTTGATGATTGAATCATTAAACCTACAAAATATGAAGTTTTTACCATAAAAATCCATAAAATGTAATGTTTAGCCACTTTAATATAAAATGTAATTTTTTACCAAAACCTTAGTTATTTTACTTATAAAACTAAATAATTAAACCAAAATTAACTAGTAAAACACACTAAAAAATACGTAAAATATATTCTTATCAAATACCCCCACACTTGAACCATTGCTTGTCCTCAAGCAATAAGAAATACAAAACAACAATGATCCAAAATTTGAAAATAAACATATGTAGCATTTGAACTTCATTTCCTCAAAACAAAGTAAATAACCATTATGCAATTATTCAATTAAGTTCAAGTACTCATAATATCAAGTAAAGGAGAGCCAATTATACCGTAATTATAACAAGTTTAATTCAATTTTTCATCCTTAACCAATTTCATACGCAAGTAACTCATATGGTCAATAATATGCTTCCTAAACTCATGATCATTTCTTATTCAAATTTAAAAAGGGATTTATTTATATAATATAGCTAAATATTACTTAAGTTGTGAAAGTATCTTTTTACGCGAGGATCGACATTTTTAGATGAAGATCACCGATTACTTAACACTTCACATACTTAAGATACTTTGCATACTCTTAATTCAAGTACCGTTTTACGCGAAAGTCGACATTTTTAGATGAAAACACCCGGTTACTAAGTACAAGAATCATTGGAGTAGAACAAATCTTATTCTCTTTTTTTTTTCTTCATTTTTTCATTTTTCATTTTTTTCATTTTTTTCATTTTTTTTATTTTTTAATAAAGATAATAACATTCCCTTGAAAGCATAATCATGAGAAGAGTATTGCAATTATTGACCATATTTATCACTTAACTTATAAAATCAAATAAAGCGAAGAAATTTCATCAAATATGCAAAAAAAATATTGGCATAATTTTCTCCACTTTAAAAGATATACTTTTCTACAAATGCAAAAATTATAATCAGATAATAGTCATTTCCAAGTTGAGTGAGAAAAGAAATTTCCAAATCACATATATTTATCTCAAATGTAGAAGAAATTTGAACTTCTAATGGTATGAAACTTGTTACCCCTTTGGGTAAAATTGAAAAAATTTGAAACTTTTTGGGGCAAGTTTGCAAATTTGGACAGGATTTAACACAAGTCCAATATTTACAACTAATAAGTCAATCACATACAATGTATATAATCTCAATTCTTCCCCCCACACTTAACATACACATTGTCCTCAATGTGTAAAAAGTAAAATCAAGATAAAGAAAAGCAATACTCCCCTATTGTTGTGATTGAATATGAAGCTTCAAGGTACATTGTGCGCCTGTCTTCATCACTTCAAGAGTTCCATTTGATAACCATTAGTGATATAAATCTAAAAATGGAAAATGAGAAACAAAAGTGATAACAAAGGTTTAATAAAACTAAACGGCGATTCGTAACTTCAATCCTTTGTTTTGATGGTGTACCTATAGAAAATCCACAATAAGCCACTCAAGGTACAAGAAAATATACGAGGAAAAGAAAAGAACCAAAGATCCTGCATTTTTTTTTTTTTTTTTAAAATGTGCTCAGAAAACGTGGCTTAACAAAACGTGCCATAAAGCTGCGTTTTTTAAGTCGCGTTTCCTTCACTAATCTTGCAGGATTGAAAACACGGTTCTTTGAGAAAACGCGACTTGGAGGCGCGTTTTCTAAGCCGCGTTTTTAGTTTGATCCAGGCTTGAAAACGCGACTGCCATCAAAACGCGACTTGAAGTCGCGTTTTAAGGGCGCGTTTCCTGTTCTGCAGGTGCAGAATTACATCCCAACAAGCTAAAAAATATCGAATTACACCCGTTCACTGCAAGTATACAGATCAACTAGTAGTTTAGGGTATATATCGGGTCGATCCCACAGGGAAGAGTGAACAATTACCGGTATTACTAAAACTTCTCTATTATTTAGACTATCAATGAATTATAACAAATTTAACCTACTGAAATTATACAAAATAACAAATAAAAGCTCCTTAAGTTATAGTATCGCTAACTACTCATGCAAGTGTTATATTTGGATCATTGAGTACTACATCTAGGCTAATTATGGTGTAATTTCCTTATGCATTTGAATCCTACTTTCGTAGTGAATCAATTATACTTATAACTAATCCATACCTATTCTCATGGTTATGAAATTAGCTACAAGTTCATTTCTTCAGTGAAATTACATGAAATGAATCACTAAAAACCACATAGGTGCACCTCTACTTTCGTGAGTGTACTCCCTATGTTTAGCACTTATTGAACTAATGTTAAATCTCAATTTTCATTGCAGAAATAACAACTTAGATAATCACAATTAATGGTACCAGATTAATCATGATTTAAAGAGCTAAAATGCTAAATAACTTGCTCAAATCATAACAATCAAATAACCAAATAATAAACATTAACAATCATAGAAAGTTCAACCAAACCCAAGGTATAAACTTTAAAGACACATAATGAACACAAAATCCAGAACTTGCATATTAACTAAATTTGGAATCAAGTACAAAAGATAAAGATTTGGAAGGAAATGAGTACTTGAACTTTAGAGAGCCAATTATTCATGAGTACTTGAACTTAATTGAATAATTGCATAATGGTTATTTACTTTGTTTTGAGGAAATGAAGTTCAAATGTTACATATGTTTATTTTCAAATTTTGAATCATTGTTGTTTTGTATTTCTTATTGCTTGAGGACAAGCAATGGTTCAAGTGTGGGGGTATTTGATAAGAATATATTTTACGTATTTTTTAGTGTGTTTTACTAGTTAATTTTGGTTTAATTATTTAGTTTTATAAGTAAAATAACTAAGGTTTTGGTAAAAAAAACTACATTTTATATTAAAGTGGCTAAACATTGCATTTTATGAATTTTTATGATAAAAATTTCATATTTTGTAGGTTTAATGATTCAATCATCAAATGAAGTGCATTGAGAAGATATTTGGATGATTGAAGATGGATTAAAGTGGTGAAAATAAAATATGAAGTGTAAAAGGAAAAATGCAATTTGAATCAAGAAAAGTCAGGTTTGACAACTCTGACACGTTTTGGTATTTTGACTATATCTGGAGCTACACTGATCGGATTGAGGTGATCTTTACACCAATTTAAAGCTAAGAAAGAGATCTATATTTGGTATGAAGACATCAAAGTCCAATTCAGCCGTTTTCATAGTCCAAAAGTTGAAATACCGAAATTCAACTCAGCTGTCCAAAGTGGAAAACAGAGTTCTGACCAGTCTTTAGTATTTTGGTCATATCTCAGGCTACAAAGCTCCGATCTGGATGATTTTTAGAGCATTGGAAAGCTAACTCAAAGGGCTACAACTTTGGTGTTTTCCACAAAAGCCAGTTCAGCCTTTATGATAGAGAAAATCGCAGTTGAAGTAAGGACAAAGTGAATACGCGAGCACACAAAACGTGACTTGTAACCGCGTTTTATGTAGGCGTGTTTTCTGGCCGCAATTCTGCAATTTGACTCAGCCATTTCTCCTGTGTTCATACCACTTTCCAGCTATAAGATGCAAGGGAATTCGGTGCACATGCTTCAGAAGACAAAGAGCATACAACATGGCTTATTCCAAA